TGTATGAGGTCGTCGCGATCCTTGTTTGCGATATTCTTGGGTATATTGTGCAAAAATGTCTGGTTGTAAATAATCATCATCAGATGATAAGTATTCCGTATGATGAGGTGCTTGCTTTTTGTTTTTATTTTGTTGAAAGAATGGGTAATTTTCACTATGATCCTGTGGAGGATGTGAATTAGTTTGAAAATTAACTGAGTTGGTTTTTGTCATTGGGTTATCCCAATAGTGAGAACATACATGATTATTATTTGTTTTTCGTGGGGGCTAGTTTGTTTTTGACGAATGTGCATAATTATAATTGTGTTCTGCAAAAGTGTTTCTTGTGAACGTTCTTCGTGGTTTTGATGGTACTGTCATGGGTCTATATGTTTGATAATCCATATGTGAATATTTTGGAGCAACCGAAGGTTTAACGGTTGATTGTAAGGTTACTTGTGCCAGTGAAGTGTTTGTATTTCTTGGTGTTGTTAAATTTGGATGTATTGGTGAAATACTTTGTTGTGTAGTTGCTGTTGTTTGGAAAATTTCTTCATTTTCTTGTGTTTGAATATCTTGTTGTGTAAGATTTCTAGTTCCATTAAGGTTTTCATTGTGTATGACGGTCGAATTTAAACTGTTATTTCGTGTATCAGGTAAAAATGTATAGTAGTTTAATGGTGTTGCATCAATGGTTAGTGGTTTTACTTTTACATAATCTCTGTGGTAAGATATTGTACTTATTGCTTGACTTGAGATTGATTGTGGAATATTTATAAATGTAGGATGAGACCGTTCAGGGTCCCAAACGTAGTCTGATTGTTCTGTAATGGCAGTATCATCATTTGGATTTTGAGGTCTGAAATTTTTTCTTGCTTGTGAAATTAAGTCTATTTTATGTGTGAAATAATCTATTATAAACCATGCCAAAATTTTTTGTAAGTCATGTTTTGTGTGTTGTGAAACATCGTCTTTAGTGAAATTTTCTTTGATTATATGTAGAAAAGTTGACAATAACGTGATTTCATGTCGTACTTTTGTATGTTTGGATGTTTCAGTTGGTGAGATACTTTGAAATTCTGTTTTTTCTAATATAGAAATATAGGTATATATTATTGCAAAAACTTCGTTAGTGAATATAGAGTTTGCTCTTTGTGAATTATGATATTGTATGCTTTTAATATATTCTAAGAATACTTTTGAAAATTCTAATTCAAGATCATCTGTTTGAATTACATATTTACGATGATTCGTATTTTTCTGTGCTGAATTCTATGGTGTAGATTCCATATTGTTGTGTTAAGTTACATATATCTTTCAGATAACGTTCAATAATTTGTCTTTTGATTTTTACATCTGGGAATTCTGCTTTGCATGGACTGATTCCGGGTCAAACAAATTTACGAGTAAATTCTTGCAAAAATCATGTTGCCCTCTATTATCGGGTGCATCTATGAGGAAGGGGTAAACCTCTTCGTCATCTGGACTATCGTCACTTTGAGTGTGGCTCATTTTTTTGTTTAATGACTGTTAATATATAACTATCGATGTGTCTAATTGGTTGATTCCAATTATACAAGTGTACTGGTTTGTGTTTATATTGCTTTTTTATTCTTCTTTTTCCTCCTTTTGATGAATTTGAAGTTGTTTCTGAATCGGAAAAATATATTTGATCGTGAATGGGACAATTTCTATCAATTGATTCTTTTAATTTGTAGAGTTCATCTAAATTGCTGGCTTCTGATTCTGAAAATGCGTTTCTATTTTTTGAAAATCTTTTTCGTGTGATTTGTCTTTGTTTGTTTATTATTTTTCTTTTTATTGTTAGTCGTTTTGTTCTAATGTATCCAACTGTTTGTGTATGAGGTGTGATGACAAGATCGTATTTTTGGTTATCTATCTCACAGTTGTGTAAAACGATTGTTTGTTTATTTCCTAGATTTTTGAATGACATAAGGTTTAGGATGAGGGATGCAAAAAGTTGTTAGTTATTTTCTTAGACTGTTAGTCCTTACGATTTTTTGGTTAGCTTAACCTGGGTCTTTTTATTTAGGGTTGGAGAGAAAAGTATATCGATTCCGAAGAATGATTTTTTACTTTCTCGCAGCTAGTCTAAGCTAAGGTGTTAACTTACTTAATCTTACTTAGGGGTAGTGATTGTGTTCAAGGGTTGGAGAATAGTAAATCGATCCACAAGGTTCAGGTATAATTAGAACGCAAGTAGTTCGTTAGGTACTATTTTAAACTTACTAAGTCTAAGATCTATCCTGGGTCTGGTAAGAGGAGGGTTCAAGTGAAGGATGAATAACCGAAGTTCTTCACTGTTTATCTTAATTTGAATGGTTAGTTTTATTTAAAAATTTCTATTAGTCTTTGGTCTTTTGGAAGGGTTGGATAGTGAATCGACGTTTGAGGTCGTTAGACACTTGTTAAGTGGGTGGTGGAGAACAAAATTGTTCTTTTTGATCCAAGGATAGGCCTTGATAATCAGGTTTTAAATTTAATGAAATAAAAATTTATTGAGATCCAAGGATAAGCCTTGATGATCTAATTTTTAAATTTAAGTAAATTTAAGTGTAATTTGGTTTAAATTTATTTAAGAAAAAGATTTAATCTTTTAATGATATTAGTGAGCTTATGATTGCTGTTAAGTTTAGGTGATGAAGCTGGGACAACAGATGATTTTATGATTACTAACACTTTATTGTCATGCTACTAATTTTTATTTTCATTTTCAATAAATATTTTTCAAACATGTTTTATATAAGACTGCTGAAATTAAGAAAACGATCTGAGATCTTTTTATCAATCGTTATTGTATATTAATAATTTTGTTTAGCGCCTGAAATGATCATGAAGATTGACTTCAAAATTTTATGTTTGCAAATGAAAATGTAAATTCATTGCTGATAAGATTCTAAATATAAAAGTTTGTGTTGGCTTTTGCCGTACGATCATAAAACTATTTGGTAAGTTTCTACTTTGTCGTATGTCGTCTCTTGTTCGAGGTCTTCTTCCATTTCCGGGTAGTTCTATTATCGTTCGGAATATCGGCTCTGATCTATTGAGTCGTAGAGACATTTCGATTAAATTATTATCGTATAACATTTTGAAAATGTTTTGTCTAAATTCTAATCTATTTTTGGTTAATTCTAAGCTATTAAGGTCTTATTCGAGACTTATGGTCGCACCAGATGAGTTATAACCGAGATGGTTAACTCATAGAGTAATTTCGGATAGGGTACACCGTCTGCTCGTCACGCTATCTTATTTTCGGCCGGATAGATTCGCGCAACTTCTTAGTCTAATACCGATCCTAATCTTACTCTTATACTTTCTAGTCTCAGGGTGTTTAACTAGTCTCTGCTAGGCTCAATAGATTTAGGGTATACTGGTTTGTTGCGGCTGCTGAAGTTCTCTTGGAGAGACAACTAATTTCTAAGTTAAATTCAAATCTCTCTGGTGCTGAAATTACAAGTAATTTCAGCACTTACAAATAAGTGGGTTGTTAGTTAGATGGATCATGATTGGTTAATATTAAATACTTTACAGTGGTAAAATATCTAATTTATCCAATCATAAAATATAGTTTAGATCAGGTTCCACTACCTTTTCGTCAACCAACATACAAGTTCTGAACATGTTCGCATTTAAAATTTGTTTGTTGATTTTAAACCTACAAATCCGGTTGGTATAATTTCTTTTTTTTAAATGTTTTGATTTTATTTAATCGGCTTATAATTTTTTTTCGCTTCATTATTAATCAGCTTAGTGGCAATATATTACATCGATGGCGCTTAATGGCAATATATTGCAGTTCACTTCAGTTTTTATTTATTAGATTTCGCAGCAATATATAAACTTAATAACTAATGATATAATAATGCCGTAATTTATATTAAAAAAGTTGCGTTCTCGTTATAGTCTCATTGCGTTCATTCACCGTTTCTCAATTTTTTGAAATAAAATAGATCATTTTTAACTGTCAATGAACGAAGTGAATACATAATTTAAGTTTTTTCCAGGAGAGTGTCCAAATTTGATCACGCTTAAATTCGAGTTGTCACAGTGAGCTTGTTTTCGGCTCTTTCTTGTTTCCCCCCACGTCACGTGAGCATCAATTTTCTGATATAAAGAGTGGTTTCACAAGGTTAAGTAAGAAGACCAAATTTGTTTGTCAAGGCCTAATTAGACCGTATGGCAATTTTCATAGCAATCGGACATTGTGTTCAAATACTTCAATTAATTGTATAATTTTGCAGATGTGGGAAGGAAAAAGAGTCTTGTTTTATTTTGGAGTTGAAATTCAATAGCTTGCGCTTTCGAGGTTTCAAAAGTTGTTAACGTTCAAGTTTGATTTCGAGCGGTTTGATTTTTGATTTCGGTTTAAGGTCATTTCAAATTCAATTGTTAAATAGGAGGAAAATTACGCTCTCTAATTATATAGTTAATGCCAAATTGGTGGCAATATCGGTGACCCTGACCAATTTAAATGGTCAAAAAGTAAAGCATTTAGGTGAATTGGTTTTTTGTAAGCAGTTTTCATGTGTGGAAATTAAATAGAAACTAAAATCCGACATCGAAATGAGGTTAATTAACTTCGTTCGATTCGTTGACCGAAAAGGATATTGCCAATAATTTGGCATTAACCATAAATATGCGTGCAAATGGCGCAAAAATCGTGAAATACGTTAAGTTTTGAAAGAAATTTTTAGTGGATCTAGCGGAATAAAAAAACCTATCGGCCCAGTTTTCTCTCATGGGTTAGTTTGATGAAAAAAGTGCCGCTTATATAAGATTCTCGAAATTCAAAGAGTTTTAACGTGATGTATTTTTACTTTGAAATTAGAACAATGTTTTAAAATGCTTCAATTTTTTCTCTTGGCTTGTTCCTGGACGCTTGTCTAACTTTCTGTTGGCTCTGTTTTTAAATTTTTATCTTTGAAAATTAATGTTGTCGGAACTTTCTGTGCTACTTCCACAGGAAGTGGTTAAACCTGTTTTAATTTAACTTCGTTTAGTGGGAGACGAGTTTCTGGTCACAGGAGGTGTCGGCCCCATCAAAGCGTTCTCGTGGAAAGAAATCATCAGGAAGTGCAAACTGCCTTCATCGGAGAGGTCTTCCGTGCAACTGAGCGAAGCGTGGAGTCTCCCACTAGAGCAGAAAAAAGATGTATTTGACGATGCTGAATGCAACTGCTTAGCATTTGACGAGTTTTCAAACATGTTATACGCTGCGTGTGGCAATGACATGATCCAGCGATGGGATTTAGAAGGTGGAAGAGGGACGAAAGCATCTTTGAAAGGTCACACTGATTACGTGCAATGGCTTGCCATGGGAAGCGGCGACTCAACTCCTTTGCTGGCATCTGCAAGCGAAGATGGATCTGCCAAAGTCTGGGATCTCCGAACAAGTACGGTTACTAAATCGTTCGTCCCATCGAAACGTCGCGACTTGGTCCGACCCGATTTGGGATCATGGCTTTCGTGCGTATGCCTTGATTCGTCTAATCAGTGGCTAGTCTGCGGGGGCGGACCCAATTTGTCAGTATGGCATGTACCCAGTGGCGAGATGGCCCAGTCTATGGACATCCACGGTGCCACTCAACATCACGTCTCCTGTGACTCAACAACTGGCGAGATACTTGTGGGTTCCAGTGATAACCATGTGTACACCTACTCTATCAATGGCAGTCTGGTAAGAAAAGTGCCGACCAATGTGCCCGTTGTATATCACACTTTGAAAAGCGACCGAGTCACACAACTAGCAAGTGTGGCAGGGCAATGTTCCAAGGTAGATGTATTTACAAACCCAGGCTATGTAGCGTTCTCACTAAACATTCGAGTATAAACTCTGAAACTGTCCGCTGTGATTTTATTATAATTTTGTTGTTTTTGATCTGTTGATTCGTAAAATATTATCCAAATATTGGCATCGATTTGAATGTTAAGATAGATATGCTCTGAATTAAGTTTTGAGTTGGAAATGTTTTGAGATAAAAACATTTTTTTTTGCTGGGCAATAATGAGAAAGCGACAAAGCAAATGCGATGAATCAACGGTCTTCAGATTTGATGTCAATTTTGACCGTACTTTGCTTTGATCTTGAAGACAACTTTTAAAGGGGGTGATTCCGGACACACAAATTCGCAACCGCTCCTAAGAAACAGGGCTGAGATATTTCGTTATGCAGGACCCAACACAGGCAGGTTAGTTTCCAGCTTTCTTCCACTCATCTTTTTATCTACTTGACTTTTGCCGTCGCTGTCGGGTTGTTATACTCACCGGACTGTTATTAGTGATCGAGTTGATAATTAAGAGTCGATGAACGTAGTCGCGATGAATTTTTTTCAGGAAACTTCTAAAATTTGTTCAGGCTCAAATTCAGTTTTCGCGGCTTTACTTGATTTTTTAAAAGTTCAGTTCGTTTCCTTTGTTAAAAGGAAAGCAAGTTCCACAATCGAACAGCAAGTGTAAAGGTCACGAAAAACGTGATTGGCTTCTAGTTTCGAAAGAAGAATTTCATTTTACTAAATAGAATTTCATCAGAAAAATTTACTGATTGATCCAGTTTTCTCGAATCGAAAAAGTGCCACTCATAAATTGTTTTAGAAATTCAAAGAGCATTAAGCGCATCTATTTTTTTCTTTGAATTTCGAAAGTTCAGATTTTTTCACAAAACGAGTCTGTAATTTTTTTCTGTTTAATTGCGTTCATTGACTCTTTTCCAACTGTCTGTTGACTAAGATAACTTTTTGCTCTGCAATGTTTGCTGGGACAGTGTTGGGTTGATAAAAAGATGCTTTTTAAAAAAAAGATGATTGGTTTTTATATTACTGTATACAGTGGGGTACCTGAACGCTGAGCGAGTTCTATTGTCACACTGTAATTTGAGTGTTTCATTTGACACGAACTTGGCATATATGAAATGATTTGTATCTTCGGTAGTATATCGGTGATTATCCCTGCCTGTCACCTTGGAGACCGGGATTCGATTTACCGCCGAAGAGATTTTGAACTACCAAATTATCTTTGAATTTGGTACGTTTTTTTATTTTGAAACTGAACTACTTGAAATACAAATCTCAAGAATTATTTTCAAATTTTTACAAAGATGATTTTATAGCTCTGCATTGTTTGCTGGGACAGTGATGGGTTGAGAAAAAGCTGTTTTTTTTCTTCGAAAAACTGATTGTTTTTATGTTGCTGTATGCAGCAGGATACAAAAATTCTGAGCTGAGTATCCCAGCCTGTCACGTTGGAGACCGGAGTTGGATTTCCCACCGAAGAGAATTTAAACTACTACGTAGTTTTTAGTTCGTATCGAAAAAACGTTTTTGATTTTCAAATTGAACTACTTGAAGTTGGTTTTTGTTGTGAATCGATACAAAGCTCTAGAGTTACTTTCAAACTTTTTTAAGAACAGTTTTTGCTCAGCTTTGTTTGCTGGGAAAGTAATGGGGCGATAAAAAGCTGCCATTTTCAAAAAACTGATTGGATTTTATGTTGCTGTTTACAGCGGGTTTCCTAAACTCCGAGCGCGTTCTATTGTCACGCTGTAATTTGAGTGTCTTATATGACACGATCTTGGGAGATATGCTCCGAATTGTGTTTTCGGTGGTAAAGTGGCGAGTATCTCTGCCTGTCATGTAAGATATCGGGATGCTACTCCCCGCCGAAGAGGTTACTCTTTACTTAAAAAAATTAGCTCGTTGTGAAAAACGTTTATGATTTTGAAATCGAACTACTTTAAGTTGGCTTTTTTTGTTTTGAGTCGATATAAAGCTTTAGAATTTCTTTAATTTTTTACAAAGATATTTTTCTGCTCTGCATTGTTTGCCGGGACAGTGTTGGGTTGATAAAAAGCTGCTTTTTTGAAAAATGGTCGAATTTTGTGTTGCTGTATACAGCAGCATTCCTTAACGATGAGGGAGTTCTATTATGTCACACTGTAATTTGAGTAAGTCAAATGACAAGAACTTGGCAGATATGCTCCGAACTGTATCTTCGGTAGAATAGTGGCGAGTATCCCTGCCTGTCATGTATGATATCGGGATGCTACTCCCCGCCGAAAAGGTTACTCTTTACTTAAAAAAATTCAGTCCATTTTGAAAAACGTTTTTGATTTTGACTTTGAACTACTTTAAGTTGGCTTTTTGTTTTGAGTCGATATAAAGCTTTAGATTTTTTTTCAAATTTTTACAAAGATAACTTTTCTGCTCTGCATTGTTTGCCGGGACAGTGTTGGGTTGATAAAAATCTGCTTTTTTCAAAAAAAATGGTTGGATTTTATTTTGCTCTATGCAGCGGGATTTCTAAATTTGAGATTTTCATATGGCGCAAACTTGGCAGATATGCTCGGAACGGTATCTACGGAAGTATAGTGGTGAGTATCCCAGCCTGTCACGCTGGAGACCGGAGTTCGATTCCCCGCCGAAGAGGTTTTGAACTCCTGATTGATTTTTAGTTCGTATCGAAAAAACGTTTTTTTTGTTTCTTAAGTGGAACTTCTTGAAAATTGCTTTTAGTTTTCAGTCGGTTAATAGCTTGTTTTCTTTTCAAATGTTTTACAAATATAATTTTTTGCTGAGCATTTTTTTGCTGGAACTATGTTGGGATGCAAAAAAGCGGTTTTTTTAACCAAAAATGTTGGGATTTCATGTTGCTGTATACAGCAGGGTTCCTAAACGCTGATCGAAATCTATTGTGCCGTTCTATAATTTGAGAATTTCAATTGGCAATAACTTGGCAGATATGCTCGGAACGGTATCTTTGGAAGTTTAGTGGTCAGTATCCCAGCCTGTCACGTTGGAGACCGGGGTTCGATTCCCCGCCGAACAGGTTTTTAACTCCCGAATAATTTTTCGTGCGTATCGAAAAAACATTTTTCGTTTTTGAAGTGGAACTACTTGAAAATAGTTTTTTGTTTTCAGACGGTTCATAGCTTGATATCTTTTCAAATTTTTTACAAATATTTTTTTTTGCTGAGCATTTTTTTGCTGGAGCTATGCTGGGATGCAAAAAAGAATTTTTTTAAACCAAAAATATTGAAATTTCATGTTGCTGTATACAGCAGGGTTCCTAAACGCTGATCGAACTCTATTGTGTCGTTCTATATTTTGAGAATTTCATATGACACGAATTTGGAAGAGATGTGCTGAACTGTATCTTCGGTAGTATAGTGGTGAGTATCGCAGCCTGTGACGTTGGATGACGGGGTTTGATTCCCCGCCGAAGAGGTTTTTAACTCTGAACAATTTTTAGTTCGTATCGGAAAAACTTTTTTTGTTTTGAAATGGAACTACATGAAATTTGCTTTTTGTTTTCAGTCGGTTTATAGCTTGATATCTTTTCAAAATTTTTACAAATATAATTTTTTGCTCAGCATTTTTTTGCTAAAACTATGCTGGGATGCAAAAAAGCATTTTTTTAAACCAAAAGTATTGAAATTTCATGTTGCTGTATACAGCAGGGTTCCTAAACGCTGATCGAACTCTATTGTGTCGTTCTATAATTTGAGAATTTCAAATGACACGAATTTGGAAGAGATGCGCTGAACTGTATTTTCGGTAGTATAGTGGTGAGTATCCTAACCTGTCACGTTGGAGACCGGGGTTCGATTCCCCGCCGAAGAGGTTTTTAACTCCTTTTAACCCCAATTTTTAGTTCGTATCGAAAAAACGTTTTTCGTTTTTGAATTGGAACTACTTGAAAATTGCTTTTTGTTTTCAGTCGTTTCATAGCTTGTTTTCTTTTCAAATATTTTACAAATATAATTTTTTGCTGAGCATTTTTTTGCTGGAACTATATTGGGATGCAAAAAAGCATTTTTTTAAACCAAAAGTATTGAAATTTCATGTTGCTGTATACAGCAGGGTTCCTAAACGCTGATCGAACTCTATTGTGTCGTTCTATAATTTGAGAATTTCAAATGACACGAATTTGGAAGAGATGTGCTGAACTGTATCTTCGGTAGTATAGTGGTGAGTATCGCAGCCTGTGACGTTGGATGACGGGGTTTGATTCCCCGCCGAAGAGGTTTTTAACTCTGAACAATTTTTAGTTCGTATCGGAAAAACTTTTTTTGTTTTGAAATGGAACTACATGAAATTTGCTTTTTGTTTTCAGTCGGTTCATAGCTTGTTTTCTTTTCAAATATTTTACAAATATAATTTTTTGCTGAGCATTTTTTTGCTGGAACTATGTTGGGATGCAAAAAAGCGGTTTTTTTTACCAAAAATGTTGGGATTTCATGTTGCTGTATACAGCAGGGTTCCTAAACGCTGATCGAAATCTATTGTGCCGTTCTATAATTTGAGAATTTCATTTGGCAATAATTTGGCAGATATGCTCGGAACGGTATCTTCGGAAGTTTAGTGGTCAGTATCCCAGCCTGTCACGTTGGAGACCGGGGTTCGATTCCCCGCCGAAGAGGTTTTTAAATCCTGAATAATTTTTCGTGCGTATCGAAAAAACGTTTTTCGTTTTTGAAGTGGAACTACTTGAAAATAGTTTTTTGTTTTCAGACGGTTCATAGCTTGATATCTTTTCAAATTTTTTACAAATATTTGTTTTTGCTGAGCATTTTTTTGCTGGACCTATGCTGGGATGCAAAAAAGCATTTTTTAAACCAAAAATACTGAAATTTCATGTTGCTGTTTACATCAGGGTTCCTAAACGCTGATAGAACTCTATTGTGTCGTTCTATATTTTGAGAATTTCATATAACACGAATTTAGAAGAGATGTGCTGAACTGTATCTTCGGTAGTATAGTGGTCAGTATCGCAGCCTGTCACGTTGGTTACCGGGATTCGATTCCCCGCCGAAGAGGTTTTGATTTCCTAAATAATTTTTAGTTCGTATCGAAAAAACGATTTTTTTTTTGAAATGGAACTACATGAAAATTGCTTTTTTTCAGTCGGTTCATAGCTTGATATCTTTTCAAATTTTTTTAAAAATATTATTTTTTGCTGAGCTTTTTTTTGCTGGAACTATGCTGGGATGCAAAAAAGCATTTTTTAAACCAAAAGTATTGAAATTTCATGTTGCTGTATACAGCAGGGTTCCTAAACACTGATCGAACTCTATTGTGTCGTTCTATAATTTGAGAATTTCATATGACACGAATTTTGAAGAGATGTGTTGAACTGTATCTTCGGTAGTTTAGTGGTGAGTATCGCAGCCTGTCACGTTGGATAACGGGGTTCG